TCTCAGGCCCCTAGAGCCATCTCAGAGGATAATACATATTCACAGCCAAGTAGCTCCACCAGCCCATTTCCTTCCTGTTGCATCCCAGAAGTCTAGCAGCCTTCCTTCCTTTTGTCCCATCTCTGTCCCCCGTTAGTCCAAGCTGGCAGTGCCAATATTTCTGCTGAGATAGGTGATTGGGTTCACAAGGCACACCCTTAGTATCCTCTCTAGAACACACCCTTTCATTTTCTACAATATGGATAGACTGAGAAATATCCACATCTTCAAGTTCTGGTTCCTTTTTGCTTAACGATTCCTTCTTCAATTTATCTCTCTCTCTCCTCTTATATTTTACTAAGTTCTGGTCCCTTTTTGCTTAACAATTCCTTCGTCAATTTATTCCTCTCCTCTTGTATTTTGCTATCATCAGCAGTGCCTTCAGTGTTTTGCTTAGAAATCTCAGCTAAATATCTGAGTTCGTCGACTGTGGGTTCTATTTTCTACCCAGCAGAACACAGTTCAGCCAAGGTTCTGCCACTTTCTTTTTTTAAAAAAATTTTTTTTAATGTTTATTTATTTTTGAGACAGAGAGAGACAGAGCATGAACGGGGGAAGGTCAGAGAGAGAGGGAGACACAGAATGTGAAACAGGCTCCAGGCTCTGAGCTGTCAGCACAGAGCCCAACGCGGGGCTCAAACTCACGGACCGCGAGATCATGACCTGAGCCGAAGCCGGCCGCTCAACCGACTGAGCCACCCAGGCGCCCCTCTGCCACTTTCTAGAAAGGATCACCTTTCCTCCAGTTGCCAACAACATGGTCCTCCTTTCTGCCTAAGACTTCACCAGAAACACCTTGAACATTCACGTTTGTAGCATTTCTGTTTGGGACAATGTGCGTATTCTCTAAGATTGTTAGAGGCTTTTCTACATCTCTCCTCTTTTTCTCTCCTAGCTTTCACCAGAATCTCCTGTAATGCCCATATTTTTCTAACAGTCTCTTCTAGGCCGTCCAGCCTGTTTCTATCATGTGTCTTCAGACTCTTCCAGATTACCCATTACCCTGTTCCAAAGCCACTTCCACATTTTTAGGTATTTGTTACCAGTAGTACCCCCTACCTGTAGAGCAAACTCTGTATTAGTTTTGTAGCATAGCCATAAAAAAGTACTGGGTGACAAATGTGTTGTGTCCCTGTTCTGGAGGCTAGTCGTCTTGAGATCAAAGTGTCCGTTGGTTCCTTCTGAGGGCTGGTGGTTCACCGGCACTCTGGCATTCCTTGGCTTACAGATGCGTCACCCTGATTGATCTCTGCCTTCATCGTCACATGGTGTCTTCCTGCGTTTCTTCACATAATCCTCCCTCTGTACATTCTCCAAATTTTCCCTTTTAATAAGGACACCAGTCGTGTTGGATTAGGGCCCACCTTAATGACCTCATTTTAACTTACTAGCTCTGGAAAGACCATATTTCCAGATAAGGTTACACTGTAAGGTACCAGGAGTTGAAACTTGAACATAATCTTTGGGGAGGAACATAATTTAACCCACAACACTTATTAATAAATTATAATAAATCTATGTTAGCAGTAAGTCAAGATGTTAAAATACAGATTATCATTATTTCTAGATACATAAGATGCAGAACTTGGATTAGAAACAGGTTGCATCTTCATTTTCCCTGTAGCCTCTAACTGAAAACTAGCATTTCTTTCCATTTTGCATGTTGGTAACAAAGCACACTACAAGTACCAGAACCTAATAACTTCATTAAGTAGATCTTTTCATATCATATATGTTAGATCTTTTCATACCACATTACAATTGTTGCAGATACTTCTTAATATGGCTAATGATCTTCACTACCTTGACATTATGAATGATTTCAGTTTCCACTAGCTCTTGAGCGTTCCAAAGAAAATAAGGAGACAACGTGTTCATAGATGAGCACGTATATTCCTGTATAAAATTTTTAAAAGAATTTGGAATACTGTATTTCAACATAATTGCTCTGTTTTTGTTTAAAAAGAAATCTGTTTTGAAAAAGGTCCGTAGGATTTACCAGATTCTCAGAAGTTTCACTGCACAAAAAAAGGCTCAAAAACATGGTTTTAGCTAGTGGAGATAATGTAGTGAAACCATTCAGATAAATTTCCTGCCTCCACGGAACTTACTTTGAAGATCAGCAAAGAGGAATGTGTGAAACGATAAACAAGAAATAATCAGCAGAACTTCAGGTAGTCATAAGGCCGCAGATATATATAATTTGGAATGACAACAGGGCTCCAACATGGAAGATCCAGGAATGGGGGGCATCTGGCAGAAGGTATAGACAGTGTACAACTTGAAGATGAGGCAAGCTTGATGTGATCATGACACAACCAGAAAGCCAGTATGGCTGGAGTTAAGTGGGTTTCCAGGGAGAGGAAAGTCATTCTAAGTGAGAAAGAGACTAGGAGAAAGAAGAGAAACCACATCATGTAGAACATGTAGGCTCGGGTAATAGGTTTCAAATTTGTTCCAGTTACATTGCTTACCCACTGGAGATTTTTAAAAAATATGTAAGATGCACAGATGTGTGTATTTTGTGTGAAATACATGTAGCACAATTTACCAACTTAACCTTTTAAGTGTACGTATCAGTGGCATTAAACTCATTCACACTGTTGTGCCATCACCACCATCCATCCACAGAACCTTTTCGTCTTCATTCTTGTCTCCACTCAACACTAACTCCTCATTCACCCCACCCCTTACTGTTGGAGATTTTTGAGCAGGGCAGTGATAAGATGTGTTTTACATTTTAAAAATATAACAGTTGGCTCTATGGAGAAAACGTTGCTAGGCAAGAATAGAAATTTTAACAGGAAACTGGATAGGAAGTTCTTGGAGATGAGACATGATGGCAAATGAGCTATGATGTTAGCGAAGGATGGATGTGACACGTACTTTCAGTAATTCTACTTGCAGTAAACCAGAGAGCATTTGATGATTGGAACAGGGATGTGGGGTCTTTGTTCAGGCATGTTAAATCTGGGTTGCCCATTAGACACCCAAGTGGAGGTGCCAGAGTTGGGCATACAAGCCCAGAGCTCAGAAAAAAAAATGTCTATGTCTATGTCTATATCTATGTCTATGTATATATATGGAAGTCCTGGGTAAGTGGTTGATATTTAGAGCCATGGGAGGGGCGCCTGGGTGGCTCAGTCAGTTAAGTGTCTGATTTCGGCTCAGGTCATGATCTCACAGTTCATAAGTTCAAGCCCTGTGTTGGGCTCTGTGCTGACAGCTGAGAGCCTGAAGCCTGCTTTGCATTGTGTGTCACTTTCTCTCTTTCTGCCCCTTCCCCACTCTTTCTCTCTCTCTCTCTCTCTCTCTCTCTCTCTCTCTCTCTCTCAAATGAAAATAAACATTAAAATAAAATTAAAGCCATGGGATTGCTTGAGACAATTAGGCATAAAGAGGAGGTGCAGGAGTAATCCCTGGGGCACTCTCACCTTTTAGAGCACAAGCTGAGAAGAAGAGGGCTCCATGAAGGCTCCAGCCAGAGCCAGGTGCTGCAGGAACCTGGATCTGGGCTCAGAAAAGGAGGCAAAGCTACCTCTCAAAAACCCCATTGTACCTCTGGTTTTAGCAGGTCGTACTGAGTCTGGCCAGAAGACGGGTCTATCCTGCCGTCTAACTTATGTCTATACCTAGAACATCTAAGACCAGGATGGGATTGACAGAAGCATGGCAGGACCAAGGAGAAATCGTTAGTTATTTGAAAGAGTTCAGCACTTTTTGTACTTCGAAACACATTATCATATAAGTGTAATTAGTAAAATGTGTATTTAAGGAACGGAAATGTAAATATTTCATCATAGAAAAGCTTTGAGCATCTTTTGTCTTCCTATCAATTAATAATGCTAAGTGAGCATTTTAATTCTTTCTGTCATAAGATAGAGTATTATATATGTATTATATCTCAATAACTCTTTGATTAATTGTTCATGAAGGTTTTAAGAAATGGTCCAAAAACCACTGTGAAAAAAACCAATGGTCCAAAAACCAGTGTGAAAAATCATGTGATATATATGTATATATACATATATATCACATGATTTTTTTTTTAGTTCAAGTAAGAAATATCCACATGTTTTCATTTGAAATCATTCTTGGTGGGGTGCCTAGGTGGCTCAGTCGGTTAAGCGTCCAAATTCAGCTCAGGTCATGATCTCGCAGTTTGTGAGTTTGAGCTCCACGTCAGGCTCTGTGCTGACAGCTCAGAGCCTGGAGCCTGCTGCAGATTCTGTGTCTCCCTCTCTCTCTGCCCCTCTCCCGCTCACACTCTGTCTTTCTCTCTCTCTCTCTCAAAAGTAAATAAACATTAAATTTTTTTTTTAAATGAAGGCATTCTTGGTACAGCATCTCTAAATGTCTTCTTTAAAAAAAAATCAATGTTATGATAGGGTATAATATAACTTAAGAAAGGCATGCTCTTGGGGTGCCTGGGTGGCTCAGTCGGTTCAGCATCCAACTCTTGATATCGGCTCAGGTCCTGATCTTGCAGTCATCGGATAGAGCCCAGTGTTGGATGTGGCACTGAGCCTGGAGCCTACTTGGGATTCCCTCTCTGCCCCTCCTCCCCTCAAAGTAAATAAACAAACATGGAGAAAAAAAAAGTCACATTCTTTTTTTCAGTTGGTCACCAGAGCTGAAACTTTTTGGCAGGATTCCAGTTATGGAATTATGGAAATGTTGAATGTCATTTGTCTGGCACAGTGATGCTCTTGGAAGTCCATGGCTGGCTAGTTATTTTTTTCTGGAACAAAGGTGGTGAACCTTTGTTCTAGAAAATATTCTGGGTTTTGCATGTGTTCCCCTTTGCCATACTGAAACATTTGGGAAATGGAAATGGGGAAGTAGTAGCTTCTTAGAAAAATGAGAGATGAATGGAACAGGAACTGCTAAATTAGCAAAATGTAACCGGAACTGTTGATCTTGTACATTATTGCTTTTGCTTATTTTTTGTCCTTTGCTAGGAGACCTGTTATGATGATGTGTGTTATACTCACCACACTTCCCAGCTTCAGCTTTTCTATCGCAGGGACTGAGGTATGGATTTTTTCTTCATTCTGCAAGATTTTGAGATTTAAAAATTTCCTCTATTACCGGAATATTATAGAACGGTGTGCCCGAAATTTTTCCTAAAGTTTATTCTATCCAGTCTTCTTCCAAGCTGCAGTATGAATATTTAAAGTACTAAGATCACTTTTCCCCCTCTGTGATTGTGAAAGAAGGTCTAGCAACCAATTAAAAAGATATCTTCTGTGTGTGTGTGTGAAAGAAAGGAACGTTATTCTAAGATCATAAAAAAGCAAGGAATTTAAAAGTAGATTCACATTGCCGCTTTTCACCTGTTTTTTGAGTGTCCTCAGTTCTAAACAATATCCAGAGGGAATACCCCTCACGTTCTAAGACCTTTAATAATATATCCATTGCCTAAGGATTTGCACATGATATTTATTTGAAAATAAGCTTGACTTCATGTTTTGACTAAATGCAGCTTCAAAAGGATTCTGATAGACAGACATCTACAGGACAGTAATATTAGAGGCAGAACTTGCAGGCTGTGAGAATTTTATTATCTGACAAGTTCAAAGAAGAATGCCCTATTAACCTTATTAATTTGCACAATGCTCTGAAAGATGTAATTTTCACATCTCCAAAGTGAAAAAATTAAAGTACTTTATATTTTATCTATATGTCAAGTAAGTAGTTATTAAGTGCATATCACATGCCAGGCACTGTGCTGGGTAATGAGATACAACACTCTGGAAATGTGAGAGTTTCTGGCCTTGAGTAATTGCTTATTGATAGTAGAGAGAAAAACAGTCAGCTATTAGAATAGCTATGATAGGTGTCATGAGGGGAGGGAGTCCTGGGTAGTGTATGACGTCATGAGAAATACATGATTGTTAGAATGTGTCCTAGATGCTACATTTGGACAGTCTGTGACTGTATAGAATAACCTTGGAAGGCTCTATAGATGTGCTTTGCATCACACAGCAATGTGTGAATATTTTAATCTAGATTTATCATTTTCTCCTCCCTCCTCCCAAAAGACTCTGTAAAGCACTTAGGAGGTTCCCAAGACCTCTAAAAATTCAGTGTACAACCTTCCCCCCACCTAGCATACAACCTTTTAAGGAAACCTATTATCCTAAAATGATGATACATTTGTAGTATGATTGCCCTTTTTGATTCTTTTCTCTTACGTCCTTACCCACTATTGCTTTTTTCCTTCTTTTGTTTAATTTTTTACTCAAGTGTGACACACAAATCAGAAAGTGCATAAAACATACAATGTACAATATTAATGTAATACCACAAAGCAATCCCCTGTGTAAACACTACTCAGGGTCAAAAAATAAAGCTTTGCTAGTTCCCTAAAAGCCACCCCTATGTTTTTTGCAATGATTTCTATCTTAACTTCTTTTTTTTTTAATTTTTTTTCAATGTTTTATTTATTTTTGGGACAGAGAGAGACAAGGCATGGGGGAGGGAGAGGAGACACAGATCGGAAACAGGCTCCAGGCTCTGAGCCATCAGCCCAGAAACCCACAGCCAGGGGCGCTCGAACTCACGGAGACCGATGGATCGGACCTGGCTGAAGTCGGACGCTTAACCGACTGCACCACCCAGGCGCCCCATTAACTTCTAATTCCATAGATTGGTTTGTCTTTTTTGAATTTTTTATAGTTGGAGATAAAATTACATACCTATCTCTCTCTCTATCTATATCTGTCATTTATCTCTCTTCTATCTACCTAATATGTGTCTGGCTTCTTTTTTTCACAAGTGTGGGTCATTCAGGCTTTTGTGTACAATGGTATTCCATCGTTTTCATTCTGTGGAGTGAATTCATTCGTTTCATTTTATGAATATGTTACAATTTATTTATCACTTCCGCCTCTGATGTCCACTTCAGTTGTTTCCGGTTTTGGCTATTATAAATAATGCTGCTGTGAACATCTTTGAGTATGTCTCTTGATGCACATATGCAGGAATTTCAGTTAATGTGCAGGAGTATAACTGATGGGACATAGAGAGTCAAAGGTTCAACTGTAGCAGAAAATGCCAGTTTCCCAAAGAGATTCTACTAATTTAGACTTAACACTAGCAGAGAATGAGCGTACCCGTTGCTGCATAGTCTAGCTACCGTACATTCTAAGTCTTTTAGCCATTCTGTTGGGCATATATTCTTGAATCTCATTATAGTTTTAAATTGTCATTCCCCAATATAATGAAATTGAGGGGCACCTGGGTGGCTCAGTTGGTTAAGCTCTTCATCTCGGCTTAGGTCGTGTGAGATCAAGCCCCGCGAAGAGCTCTGCGCTGACAGCATGAAGCTTACTTGGGATTCTCTCTCTATGCCCGCTCCCCCCGCCCTATAAATAAATAAATAAACATCTAAAAAATTAATGAAATTGAGCACTTTTTTCATCTTGCCATTTTTTCCCTATCGTGTTACTTATCTTTTTAAAATCAATTCAGAAGTTTTTAATATATTCAGATCTCAAGCCCTTTGTGATTTTATATATTGCAAATATAGTCACACTTTGTGACTTAATATTTTAATGGTATTTTGGGTGAAGAGTTCTTAATTTAAATTAGTCCAATTTACCAGTGTTTTTTTTTCCATGGATAGTAATTTTGGCAACTTGAAGAGATTTTGTCATAGTGCGAATCTGACCCTCAAAGTCCTGAAGCTATTCCCCTATATTATACTTTGAAGCCTATATGTTTTACCATTTTCTTTTCTTTTTCTTTTTTTTAATTTTAAAAATGTTTATTTTAGAGAGAGAGCAAGAGCACAAGCGGGGAAGGGGCAGAGAGAGAAGGGGACAGAAGGTCTGAAGCAGGCTCTGCGTTGATAGCAGAGAGCCCGACGTGGGGCTTGAACCCATGAACCATGAGATCATGACCTGAGCTGAAGTTGGACACTTAACCAACTGAGCCACTGAGGTGCCCCTGCCATTCTCTTTTAGATTCACAATCCATCTGAAGCTAATTTTTGTATATGTTGTGCAGTAAGGAGTCAGTTTTTTACCTCCAAATAGCATCCAATGCATTGAGCACTATTTATTAAAAAGTCTGTCTTCCCGCATTTCTCTGCCCTGCTGCTTCTGTTATAAATCACTCTGTATATATACATGGTCTATTTCAAGCCTTCTGTTTTGGCAGTATCATTTTTTTTTTTTTAGTCTCATTTTCCCTTTATTGCATATGGAGATTTTCCCCATATACAATTATATAGTCTATGAATAATGATATATATTTATTTTCTTCCCAATACTTGCAGTGTTTATTTCTTTCTCTAGCTTCATTACACTGGCTAGGACTTCTAGTACAGCGTTGCATAGAATTGATCATGGTGGCACTTTCGTCATCTTCCAGATCTCAGAGGAAAAACTCTTAACATATCACCACTAATATGATGCTTGCCATAAGTTTTTGTGTAGATACCATAATCAGATGAAGGAAGTCTCCCAAAACCTGGCTGGGTTTACCTGGGCTCTCTCTTCTTGGAGGACCCTGAACTCCAATATCTATCCCCCTAATTCTTTGACGTAGGGACTCTCAGAGGCTCTGCTTAGCAGTAGGGTTGGAAGAAATTGCCCATCTCACCATTACCAGGAGCCTGCTGTTATATTTTGGTGCGTATTTACCAAGCTCTCTCTTGAACTGAAAGCTCTTCCATTGATAAGAATCTTTATTACATCTTTACAAATCCTTCAACAGCTAATGGGATTGATTACCTGAAAAGCTGGAAATCAAGCTTCTAGTCTTTTAGTAAATGTCTTTGTAATTAATTTAATGTTGCTTCCAGACTACTAAAAGAATTTTAAACAAAGACAGCACAAAAGAAGTAATGCTTCTAAATGGTTTTCTGAAAACAGGTTCAAAAGAATATTAATGGTTCTGCGGATACCTTACCTGATACCTTACCTGATCTGCCAGTTTCTCTGGTTCTGACTTCCTTGATTGTGGTGGATATTATTGAAAAACTCAGGATATATTCTCTTAGAAGGTGGCAAAATTGTAAGTATTCTTTTAAATGTAATATTTTTAAAAGTTTGACATACTGTTTACCTTTCTGTCGCCCAGTTATCTGTTGACATGTTTAATGATACCTTTTCTGACCTCTAACATTACAGTTAGAAGATTAGAAATGAAGATATCTAAATATAATTATTTTAAAAACTACTTTGATAGCTAAATAGTTATTCTTATTTGTATTTTGGTAGTACTGATAAATTAATAAACTTAGCAAATATTTAATAAGAAAAACCTTAATGTTTACTCTAGCAAGAAAATAATCTAAGTAAATTATTATAGATTTAGATTTTTAGAAACCTTCTTAAAACCTTTCAGTTTAGATGAATAAATATAGTTTTGGATATCTTTGATAGAAATTAATGTGACTACTGAAGTTATGTCCTAGAGAATTATGTGTCTTTAATTGTAGATTGTCAAAAAGCTAAAGATCACACTACCAAAACCAAGATATACCACATTCCTCCAAAGGGATCAGTCAAAACTAAATATAGGTTGGTCTTTAAAAAAAAACAAAAAACGATACTTTGTTAATTGAATATTTTGTTCAGTTGGTCTTAAATTTCTTCAACTTTCACTTAATTTCATGTGATAGTATCTGTGCTTAATTTATAATATGTGTATGCTATCGCTATTGGATGACCAAGATTTTATACGTGAAATGGGTAGGTTTTGTCGAATCACTTCCTGGTGGGGTGGATGGGTTAAAGCGAGTGAGTCACAGGGGAATTCTGGAGAGTAATAGAGATGATTCCTACCTCCAGGAAGGAAAAGACCAGAGAATCACTTATGGGTCATGAGCCACCACCCTTCCGGTCACTCTTACTCCTCAAATTGAAAAATAAAGCTGAGTTGGAGGCCACCAGGAAATCTGAGATTCTGAGCTTCATATTTTGCACTTTGTCCTTAGGTGGGAGACGATGGTTGTTATGTTTAACATAACACAGGTGACAAGGTAGCTAAAGTGGCAGGCAGCTAGTGGCCATCTAATGAGGAAAAGGTACCCTCAAGTTACATCTGCCCTCCAGAGTCCAGTGTATTTATTTCAAACTGAGGAGATTTGGGAATTGCCACTTTCTTTGCTACTTCTCTAGATTCCTTCTCAATGCAAACCTATCTTGAAAATGGATTGTTTTTAAAAATTCTTCCGTGTTAATAACCTTCCATGTTAATGTGAACATTCTGTATAAGTTCTTAGTGAACATTCTCTCTCTTTTTTTTTTTAACGTTTATTTATTTTTGAGACAGAGAGAGACAGAGCATGAACGGGGGAGGGTCAGAGAGAGAGAGGGAGACACAGAATCTGAAACGGGCTCCAGGTTCTGAGCTGTCAGCACAGAGCCCGACGCGGGGCTTGAACTCACGAACCGCGAGATCGTGACCTGAGCCGAAGTCAGACACTTAACCGACTGAGCCACCCAGGCGCCCCATGAACATTCTCTTTTTAAAAAAATGTACATGTAAGGGCACCTGGGATCAGTGGGTTGAGAGTCCGACTCTTGGTTTGGCTCAGGTAATGATCCCAGGGTGGTGGGATCGAGCACTGCATTGGGCTCCATGCTGAGCGTGAAGCCCACTTGGGATTCTCTCTCTCTCTCTCTCTCTCTCTCTCTCTCTCTCTCTCTCTCTCTCTCTCCCCCCTCTGCTTTTCTCCCCTGTTCTCGCTCTATCTCTGAAATAAAAAATTAAAATTAAAAATGTACGTTACATTTTTTGGAACAAGTTATATTTTAAGTGATGAGTTTGGTTGTTAAAGGAGAATTTTCTCTGTATCCAGAAATGACAATGACACTGAGCATTGAAACAAGAAAACCCCAAAGAAGTCAGTCTCGGAGATAAGACCCGAGAACATTTTATACAATTGCTTTTTCTTATTTGAAGAGCCTCCTTCTTGAGCTCTTCACTGCCCAAACTTGAGCGGGCTAATGTCTGGTTGAATAGCTCTACCCTTTAATAACGTCCCACTTTAAAAAACTAGCATTCACTCAAAACACCTTTGCAAATATTAATTATACATGCATTTAATTTTTGTACAAGCTTTGGAACTCAAATAGTCCCCTTTAGTCATTTTAAACATGCATACTAACAAAATGGATTATGTGAGCTTTGAATTTAGGGAGTGTTATCATTTATCCTCTGGAACTTAATACATAAAGTCATAAACATGTGAACTGTAATACATAAGTCTGAACATAAACCAGTAGGCTAAAAATATGCTGTTGTTGCATGTGGTACTTTAGAATCCAAGAGGTTGGGTAGGGGTGGGTGGTGAACGAGCTTTAAAAACATTTGGCTCCCTTTAGAAAAGGTTGGGAAAGGTAATATATTGTGCTCGGTCCAGAGAGTTTGAAAGGCATACCCATCGGTCAACTTGTAACAGCCATGATCCTATAGTAGAGGAAACTAAGGTAATCTGCAGTGCTTGGATTTGTGGACCCCCTTGTGCCATCCCATCCGCCTTAATTCCAAGCTACAGAAGCTTGATCTTTGTGTAGCTTTTCCTTTACTAAAATTTTAAATACAAGTTATTCTATATTTAAAAAAAAGGTGCTCATGCTTAAAGCAGTCTTAACGGGATCAAGGAGGCCTTTCCACTAACTTTCTGTTACCAGTTGAAATATCTCAGTATCAAGTGATGATCATGTCAGAACATGTCCATGCATTATTTCACATAGCCTGCGCCTCACACGGGAATATTTTCTGGTACCTAGATCTCTGAGGCATGGCAGTCTCGCAGATGTCATACCTAATAATGGCAAGTCCCAGTCTTGGGAGCAAATAGTAAGAATACAGTGTATCGCCTGAATGTCCCCAGCTCATATTAGTATGTGGGTATTTCTATTTGAATTTTGTTAGCTCAGTCCCAACCAGTGAATGACTGGGCCCCCATCTTTCTTCCTCTTCCATATTGTTCCCTCTCCCAGAACTGAGGTGAGTCTCCTGTGGTCTCATTTATTGGTCCAGACTGCTGAATATTCCATCGCTCCTGCTTTTTTTCCATTCATCATCGTTACACACAAACAACTTGGCCTGCTGTTTTCCCACCACTCTTGCCTGACTCTGTGTTCTAAACACTTTTCGTCCTGCTATGACTTGCCTCCCAGGAAATATCCTAGTTTCTCCTTACATCAGTCTTAATCTATATTGTCTGAACCCCAAATCATGGTCACTATTAGGTTCCCTTTGCCCCCACCCAGATGCCTTAACCTCCATAAAAACCCACGAATGCAAACGGACACACAAACAAGTCAATGGTTGGATGCAAAGTTTCAGTTCTACCTGTAGGGACTCACTTGAACAGCCTAAGCCTGCCTCAAGCACCATGTTATAAGTGGTAGAATAGAGTATCATAGTTAAAGTACTATGGGGCTACACGTGAAGAAATATTTCATTTTATCTAAGGTGTCGGAGGTCAGAAAAATACTAAAGGGACTATCTGGGATTTGTAGGAGTTTAGGCAGATATGGTGAAGAAGGCTTTCTACACAGAAGGAAGATTGGGCCTTAAGAAACTCAGGACTGCATGTAATAAATGGGCAAAAATAACCAGTTGGATTTCACAGTCTGAATGGAAAAATCTATTGTTGAGGTGAAAGCTGCCTTCTTAAAACCAGCCACTGTTTGTTTCTCAAGTAGTAAACTTCGGAAACCTACAGAGCGGATTTGTAGGGGTCCGTGGGCAGAAAGGGGAAGCTTAACCAGAGTCACTGGTGCTCCAATTCCTACCTGAACCACATCGGCACAGCATTGGTTTGTGTCAGATTTCGTTTGGGAAAAAAAAAAAAAAAAAATGGTTCTTCTGCTAAATGTCTGAAAACCATTAATCTTGGACCTCATTTAGATGCATAAGCTGTAGCTTTCGGTACAGGGCAGTACGGTAACTCAGGTGGCCAATTCCCTACTTCTCCAGCCCATGGCTCCCTGAGAATCATGATGCTGCCCTACCCAGAGACCAAGTGCACCCTCATCCAAGGTCTTGTGACGGCTGCTGTTTTGGGGATATGATACAATGCTACACAACACACTAACATACACCACATTACAGCAATGCAGATAGAGCAAACCCAACCTGGTGGGGCACACACAGGTTTTGAGGCCTAATACGTATGAAAAACCAGATCCATTTTTTAATATTCCAGTTTGAAATTGTTTTATTTCTAACGTTTTCTGTTTCCCCCAAATACATATTTATTTTAAAAGATCGTCCAATACTCATAAGCAAAAAAAGAAGAAAATGGAAATCCACCAGGATTCTATAAACTACAGATTGATAGCTGATACCATCATCAGGGGCATGCTTGACTCAAGGAAATCTATTTTGTATCTTTTTTTCTTAAAAATATGTGGTGGTATTGGGGCGCCTGGGTGGCGCAGTCGGTTAAGCGTCCGACTTCAGCCAGGTCACGATCTCGCGGTCCGTGAGTTCGAGCCCCGCGTCGGGCTCTGGGCTGATGGCTCGGAGCCTGGAGCCTGTTTCCGAATCTGTGTCTCCCTCTCTCTCTGCCCCTACCCCATTCATGCTCTGTCTCTCTGTCCCAAAAATAAATTAAAAACGTTGAAAAAAAAATTAAAAAAAAAAATGTGGTGGTATCATCGTTTTTTATTAGTTGAATAGTATCCTGTTGTATTAATGAACCGTGACTCATTTAGCCATGAGTTTTTAACTAACCCTGTTGTTGGACAGCTAGATTTTCTTTTTTCCTGGTTTTTAACAACTGTTCTATGACTCTTGTTCAGAAGTAAAAAGGGTTGCAGAAAAAAAAGGAGAAGGATGTGGTGAGAATGAGCAGGATGATGTGGTTTGAGTCGAGCAGTGGGGGTGAGCCATATGTATGGGCGCACAGGCATGGCTGGTGCAGGTGCTCGGTGTCTGGGGGACCCGGTGCTGTGTATGTGAGTTACAAGCCACTCCGAGGTGACCGGCCAAGCAGAGGCTGGGGACAGAGAGAGTTAACTGTCACTGGATGACCACAGAGTGTCCTCGGA